CATGGCTTTAGAAGCTTCTGATAGGCTAATTGACATCATTTGAGTCAATTGGAGGTGTACCTGTGGATGTATTTCTAGGCCTACCTTCAAACTCAGTGCCTCTTTGCTTGACATCATGGGAAAATCAAAAGAAATCAGCCAAGAACTCAGAAAAAGAATTGTAGACCTCCACAAGTCTGGTTCATCCTTGGGAGCAATTTCCAAACGCCTGAAGGTACCACGTTCATCTGTACAAACAATAGCTCAGGAAGGAGACTCATTCTGTCTCCTAGAGATGAACGTACTTTGGTGCGAAAAGTGCAAATCAATCCGAGAACAACAGCAAAGGACCTTGTGAAGATGCTGGAGGAAACGGGTACAAAAGTATCCATATCCACAGTAAAACGAGTCTTATATCGACATAACCTGAAAGGCCGCTCAGAAAGGAAGAAGCCACTGCTCCAAAACCGCCATAAAAAAGCCAGACTACGGTTTGCAACTGCACATGGGGACAAAGATCTTACTTTTTGGAGAAATGTCCTCTGGTCTGATGAAACAAAAATAGAACTGTTTGGCCATAATGACCATCGTTATGTTTGGAGGAAAAAGGGCGTGCTTGCAAGCCAAAGAACACCGTCCCAACCGTGAAGCATGGCGGTGGCAGCATCATTTACATTTTTGTACATTTTTAGTCATTTAGCAGATGCTCTTATCCAGAGCGACTTACAGTTAGTGAGTGCATACATTTTCATACTGGCCCTACAGTATCTACCTCCATCACTCCAGTATCCCTGCACATGTAAATATGGTATTTGAACGGACTTTTTAAATATTTCCTGTATATAGTATGCTTACTTACTTACTTTATTGTGTATTTCATATTTCCTATTCTTATTTTAATTTTTTTTGTAATACATAGTTATTGATTATTGCATTGTTGGGTTTTGAGTTAGCAAGAAATACATTTCACTCACTGTACTTGTGCATGTGACATGAAAACTTGAAACTTGTGGGCAATTGCTGTTTTGTTTAAAAGTTTGTCTTAACTATTTAAAAAAAGGTAATACAGTTATTTAATAGATCTAGATATTTAAGTTTAAAGGAAGCCTATCCTTGCCTGAAGAGAATCCTGAGGCAAAAAATACCCCCCCAAATAAAAACACTAGCCTATGTCACTATAATAATATTATGTTTTATATTTGATAAAGTACATTAATCCTACAACTCTGCATAATGATTCAAACTCTTTCACTCAAAATTATACATGAACAATTTCCATTGATGACATTTCATCAATGACTCCTGATGTCGTCATCATTGACTGACCGATTCCCTCCTTTTGTAATGTATTTTGAAGTTAGTTTGGCACTAATAGATAGTTATAACACTACAGTTCATTGTCTAGGAAGTGAATTTAACCAACATTTGTTACATGAAAAATTACTGTGAAATGTACAGTAGTGGCTTCCAATGTGGGCTAGGAGTGGTGAACATTTTCTGCTTGCTTCTTAAACCCCTGCCAAATTCTTAAGATACAAATATTTTGTTGACCACTAAAATGGGGGTTTAAACTGAAAAGTACACAGGCAAATACCACAATGAGTAATGTCATTATTATTATAGAGAACATGTTTTTATTTCATAAGGAAAGAGAAGGGAAGGAAATGTAGAACATCAGTTAATTCAAATACAGTCGTGGTCAAAAGTGTTGAGAATGACACAAGTATTGGTCTTCACAAAGTTCGCTGCTTCAGTGTTATGAGATATTTTTGTCAGATGTTACTATGGTATACTGAAGTATAATTACAAGCATTCCATAAGTGTCAAAGGCTTTTATTGACAATTACATTAAGTTTATGCAAAGAGTCAATATTTGCAGTGTTGACCCTTCTTTTTCAAGACCTCTGTAATCCGCCCTGGCATGCTGTCAATTAACTTCTGGGCCACATCCTGACTGATGGCAGCCCATTCTTGCATAATCAATGCTTGGAGTTTGTCAGAATTTGTGGGTTTTTGTTTGTCCACCCACCTCTTGAGGATCGATCACAAGTTCTCAATGGGATTAAGGTCTGGGGAGTTTCCTGGCCATGGACCCAAAATGTCGATGTTTTGTTCCCAGAGCCACTTAGTTATCACTTTTGCCTTATGGCAAGGTGCTCCATCATGCTGGAAAAGGCATTGGTTGTCACCAAACTGTTCTTGGATGGTTGGGAGAAGTTGCTCTCGGAGGATGTGTTGGTACCATTCTTTATTCATGGCTGTGTTCTTAGGCAAAATTGTGAGTGAGCCCACTCCCTTGGCTGAGAAGCAACTCCACACACGAATGGTCTCAGGATGCTTTACTGTTGGCATGACACAGGACTGATGGTAGCGCTCACCTTGTCTTCTCCGGACAAAGTGTTTTCCGGATGCCCCAAACAATCGGAAAGGGGATTAATCAGAGAAAATGACTTTACCCCAGTCCTCAGCAGTCCAATCCCTGTACCTTTTGCAGAATATCAGTCTGTCCCTGATGTTTTTCCTGGAGAGAAGTGGCTTCCTCGCTGCCCTTCTTGACACCAGGCCATCCTCCAAAAGTCTTTGCCTCACTGTGCGTGCAGATGCACTCACACCTGCCTGCTGCCATTCCTGAGCAAGCTCTGCACTGGTGGTGCCCCGATCCCGCAGCTGAATCAACTTTAGGAGATTGTCCTGGCGCTTGCTGGACTTTCTTGGGCGCCCTGACGCCTTCTTCACAACAATTGAACCTCTCTCCTTGAAGTTCTTGATGATCCGATAAATGGTTGATTTAGGTGCAATCTTACTAGCAGCAATATCTTTGCCTGTGAAGCCCTTTTTGTGCAAAGCAATGATGACGGCACGTGTTTCCTTGCAGGTAACCATGGTTAACAGAGGAAGAACAATGATTTCAAGCACCACCCTCCTTTTAAAGCTTCCAGTCTGTTATTCTAACTCAATCAGCATGACAGAGTGATCTCCAGCCTTGTCCTCGTCAACACTCTCACCTGTGTTAACGAGAGAATCACTGACATGATGGCAGATGGTCCTTTTGTGGCAGGGCTGAAATGCAGTGGAAATGTTTTGGGGGGATTAAGTTAATTTTCATGGCAAAGAGGGACTTTGCAATTAATTGCAATTCATCTTATCACTCTTCATGACATTCTGGAGTATATGCAAGTTGCCATCATCAAAACTGAGGCAGCAGACTTTGTGAAAATTAGTATTTGTGTCATTCTCAAAACTTTTGACAACGACTGTACACTTGTACAATGTGAACACCTACGTGAGAATGCTATTCATTGACTACAGCTCAGCATTCAACACCATAGTGCCCTCAAAGCTCATCACTAAGCTAAGGATCCTGGGACTAAACACCTCCCTCTGCAACTGGATCCTGGACTTCCTGACGGGCCGCCCCCAGGTGGTAAGGGTAGGTAACAACACATCTGCCACACTGATCCTCAACACGGGGGCCCTCAGGGTGCGTGCTCAGTCCCCTCCTGTACTCTCTGTTCACCCATGACTGCATGGCCAGGCACGACTCCAACACCATCATTAAGTTTGCCGACGACACAACAGTGGTAGGCCTGATCACCGACAACGATGAGACAGCCTATAGGGAGGAGGTCAGAGATCTGGCCGTGTGGTGCCAGGACAACAACCTCTCCCTCAACGTGACCAAGACAAAGGAGATGATTGTGGACTACAGGAAAAAAAAGAGGACTGAGCACGCCCCCATTCTCATCGACGGGGCTGTAGTGGAACAGGTTGAGAGCTTCAAGTTCCTTGGTGTCCACATCACCAACGAACTATCATGGTCCAAACACACCAAGACAGTCGTGAAGAGGGCACGACAAAGCCTATTCCCCCTCAGGAGACTAAAAAGATTTGGCATGGGTCCTCAGATCCTCAAAAAATTCTACAGCTGCACCATCGAGAGCATCCTGACTGGTTGCATCACCGCCTGGTATGGCAACTGCTTGGCCTCTGACCGCAAGGCACTACAGAGGGTAGTGCGTACGGCCCAGTACATCACTGGGGCAAAGCTCCCTGCCATCCAGGACCTCTATACCAGGCGGTGTCAGAGGAAGGCCCTCAAAATTGTCAAAGACTCCAGTCACCCTAGTCATAGACTGTTCTCTCTGCTACCGCACGGCAAGCGGTACCGGAGTGCCAAGTCTAGGTCCAAAAGACTTCTCAACAGCTTCTACCCCCAAGCCATAAGACTCCTGAACAGCTAATCATGGCTACCCGGACTATTTGCACTGCCCCCCCCACCCCATCCTTTTTACGCTGCTGCTACTCTGTTAAGTATTTATGCATAGTCACTTTAACTCTACCCACATGTACATATTACCTCAACTAGCCGGTGCCCCCGCACATTGACTATGCAACGGTACCCCCCTGTATATATAGCCTCCCTACTGTCACTTTATTCTATTGTATATATAGCCTCCCTACTGTCACTTTATTTTTTACTTCTGCTCTTTTTTTTCTCAACACTTTTTTGTTGTTGTTTTATTCTTACTTTTTTGTTTAAAATAAATGCACTGTTGGTTAAGGGCTGTAAGTAAGCATTTCACTGTAATGTCTGCACCTGTTGTATTCGGCGCATGTGACCAATAAAATTTGATTTGATTTGATTTGATTTGTATGGTGAAGCCAATGCATGAATATGCATGATCAAAACAAAAAATTGGTTGATCATTAAACTCCCAAAATACCAACACTTGCCATCAGGCCTGTATTACAATACAATATGTTCTGATTCCCACTCAGGTTTAAATTATACATTTAACCAAGGTTAGATTTGGCCTAGGCATGGCATATGCTTGACAACAAACATTATAATAAAACATTCAATTGTATAAGCCTACTGCACAGGCAAAGAGGTGAGAGAGTTCATTAATTTACTTTGAATTTTAAAATTAACATCACTTTACCGGCAATCTACCGGCATATGCCGGTTGGCTCTAAATTTAGTCGTTTCGTGAATAGTACACTATTTGCTCCGGAAGTACTTGGTTGTTCTTATCATGAATGAAACTATCATGGATCCAGTGAAGTCTACATAACAAAATTATAATCTGAGATTGAGAAGCTATTTGGGGCACAGTGTACATATATACATTTGGTAAACGTTTGATTTATTAATTTCCATTGATTTTAAGAATATGATTCTTATTAGGAGTTGTAGCCAAGCTGTAGCTAGCAATTTAGTTAGCTAGCTAGCAAGTTAGCTGACAACTAATGCTTACTAGCTAGTTAGCTAGACAACATTTGCTTGAAAACCGCACTTGCTGGACCTATACAGCTAGCTAGCTAACTAGTTTGTCCTCTTTTCATTGCATTAGAATAGAATGAACACTGTACTATTGCAATCCAATCCTAACGTTAGCTCACGAATCCAGCAGACCAACAACAATAGCCCTGACGACCTACCTATTATGGTTAGTGAGTGTAGGTTTAACTAGCTAGCTAGCGAACTAGGATGTGACCGACAGGCATACTGACAGGGCCAGTTTAGCTGTTACACCAAGAGGCCACTGGTGTTGTAATGAGGATGCTACCAAAGATAATTCATAACCTATCGCTAACTGGCTGATACAGTCAGTCTAAAAGCCAAGATGCAAGCCTATTTGAACAACATGCACCCATTTTATTTTGTAGGTCAGCTGTCCTCATGATGAACTTTGATGGTCTGGACCCAGGGATGGGTGAATACGCACCGGCCCTCCATGGGAGTCTAGAGGCAGGTATGGAGCCCTCAATGGACCCACGGCTCAATCCGGGCTTGTTGCAAGGTGTAGAGCTCAATCCAGATGGTCTTAACGTGGCCGTACCCGAGCACATGATGGAGGGGATGTTCTCTGAACTCCACAGTGTGCATGCAGAAGTAGGCGTTCCTGTCACAGCAACTCACTTTGACCTGCAAGAGGAGCTGCTCTGGATGGGAAACCACAGGGTAAGATTCAAATTATTATGCCAGAAAATAGGGTATTACTGGTACTTGGAACATGAAGTGCGTCCACAAATGTTTTTGTACACTTTGGTTTCAGTTGCCACTTTTTATGTAAATTTGCAATATGGGCTATTCAGGAACAATTTTCTACGATACAAACTTGTTTCCCCACTCTCTTTGTCCATAGGGGCATGGAATGTCCTTCTTTGGTCCGACAATGGGCCGCTACTCTTCTTTCCAGGCACACTCAACTGATGACATTCGTCAGATTCAGAGCATGGAGACTGGGGTTCTGTTTCTCTCTAAGAGTAATCTCAAGTGCCAAACTCGTGGAGGCCTGGTCATGTTCGACTACCCGTGAGTTGCATTCAAATGCTAATTCACATTGTGGTTTTCTTACTGATTTAGTTGGGGGGGAAAAAACATTTATGTTATAATACGAACCATACACCCATGTTTACTTAGGTTCAAAGGTGGGTGCTGAAAGCATGCTTGCAAAAATCAACATTTAGTTGAAACATCATGTTATAGTTTCAAATCAGTTTGGATGTGCATCTTGAATACCGTACAGTATAATGTAATTGTCTTAATTAATTAATGTGTGCATTTCAGAATGGAGGAGGGAGCTGACATGCATAGTCTGCTTATGACAGAAAACAACACAATGCTCATGGGTGGACTACAGAACTATGTGCTTGAATTTGACCTTAATACTGTGCAGCAGACACAAAAGGTATTGCATGACACCAGCATGTGAAAAAATAGGCCTAACTCTAAAGATGCAATAAATAATTTAGCCTCTATTTTTGGCCTACAGGCTCTTGCAAATAAGTGATTGAATAGGTGAATAATTGTACATATTGTGATCTTTCCTTCCTATGCCTAGTTTACAGTCGAGGCTCCAGGGGTAGCTATCATGCGGCAGTCCAATCGTTTCTTATTCTGTGGGAACACATCTGGGAAGGTAAGGACAACAAGATAGGCTCAAGGCCACCCATGTTTCTCAGTGTTTGGAAGATGTTATTATTATTAATTTTTTACATCCTTAACCATTCGTATATATCTCACCATCTTGCCTTCCACACAACCAGGTGTCCCTTTGTGACCTGCGCACCTTTAAGCTAGAACATGAGTTTGATGCCTTCTCCGGTAGCCTGTCAGACTTTGATGTCCATGGCAACCTCCTGGCTGCGTGTGGGTTCTCCAGTCGAGGAATGAACGGACTAGCGTGTGACCGCTTCCTCATGGTGTTTGACCTGCGCATGATGCGCGCTGTGACACCACTCCAGGTGCATGTGGACCCTCTCTTCTTGCGCTTCATCCCTACGTACACATCCCGCCTGGCCATCATCTCACAGACAGGTATTGATCAAATGGGGAATGTGTTTGTTGTGCAGCCTGCTAGCTGTATTTATCAGAGAATGCAGAAAAAAAGACTGCCTTTCTTTTCCCTCCATCCCCAGGACAGTGTCAGTTCTGTGAACCCACTGGGCTAGCCAACCTGGCTGATGTCTTCCATGTCAACACCGTGGGCCAGTTGCTCATGAGCTTCGACGTGTCCTCCAGCAAGCAGGCTTTGGCCTTTGGGGACTCTGGGGGAGGTGTGCACCTTTGGTCAGACGCCCCAGAGGTCTCCTACAACGGTTATTCACGGGAGACCGAATTTGCTCTGCCCTGTCTGGTGGACTCCTTGCCTCAGCTGGACTGGAGCCATGACCTGTTGCCCTTGTCCCTCATCCCCATGCCCTTTAATAGCTCAGAGCCACTACTGTCAGACTGGGTCACCACACAGGCCACTCCCAGCCCTAGGTAGGTAACAAATTGTTTTAAGACTAGATTTGTGACCTTTTGGGGACTTTAATCTGCTGAAGTAGGCTATGTGGTGAATTCACTGCATCTTGAGGTGGGGTAACGCCAACCCCTCCCCAAAAGTCCCCTTCACAAGGAAGGCAGTGCTCTCTGGCTCTTGATAGATGTATTGTCAAATATTTCTCAACTTCTTCTCTCTCCAGACGAGCACCCCTAGTGGACCCAGAGATCCTGCGCACGATGAAGACTGTAGGGTTCATTGGTTACGCCCCCAATCCTCGCACCCGTCCCCGGAACCAGGTACGTCAATCATCCACAAATTCAATGTCTTTTTTACATTAGAAGCAGTGGGTTTTCGTCTATTTTAGAGAGGTTCAGTCCAGGCAGCGTTATCCAGGAAGAGTTAGATACTGAACTATGCTTGGCTTGTATAGACATCCTCTCCTGGTGACCCAATGTCCTGTTTGCTGTGTTTCAGGTTCCTTACAAGATCAAGGAGGTGGAGCTGGACTATGACAACTACAATCAGGGGGTTCCTGAGTCTCCTATTGGTCGAGATGAAGAACCACACCTCTACATGGTGCCCAAAAAATACAGGAAGGTGTGTCCCTTTACTTATTACATTTGTTATCTACCTGTATATGTGAAATGTGTAGTTTAATAGTATGGATATGTGTTATGAGCACATGTATGGTTCAATGTGGGTGTTGAGGTTAGCTTTTTGTGTCAATGATAAGAGCTTACATCTTTGATTGTTTTGTGCCCATCAGGTCACCATTAAATACTCCAAACTTGGGCTGGAAGACTTTGACTTCAAACATTACAACAGGACCCTGTTTGCTGGCCTGGAACCTCACATTCCCAATGCTTACTGTAACTGCATGATCCAGGTGAGAATCGGAAATGAGTGGTGTTCATTTATATACCGTAAATATACCAAGGTTGATTTATCCATGTTTATTCGTTAATTATTTGTTCCCATTTACAAATAACATTTTTGTTGGATTATTTGAGTGAGTATTTTCCCCCTGTGTGTCTGATTGGTTAGGTGTTGTATTTCCTGGAGCCAATCCGCTGCCTGGTCCAGAACCACCTGTGTCAGAAGGAGTTCTGTCTGGCGTGTGAGCTGGGCTTCCTCTTCCACATGCTGGATCTGTCACGAGGAGACCCCTGTCAGGTAGCCACCAATAGCCATGACACATCTCACACTCTGTCCTATGGCCTATCTTTCTATCCCTACAAAATAACATATTCTTTGCTAAATGTAGTAGTGTGCTTATGTAACAGAGTTGTAATAAAGACAGTTTGATGGAGTTGTAATAGAGTGGTAATAAAGCACTGTAATAATGTGTTTATGTATGGACTGAACTGACTGACCATAGACTGACCATAATTAAACTGTCCTGCTGCCTACTCCCATTGCCATTCACTCATTGCTACCACTGTCCCCTCTCAAAGGCCAGTAATTTCCTCCGAGCTTTCCGAACTATCCCGGAGGCGTCTGCCCTGGGTCTGATCCTGGCTGACTCTGATGAGCAGACGGGGAAGGCCAGGCTGGGCCGTCTCATCCAGAGCTGGAACCGCTTCATCCTCACCCAGCTCCACCAGGAGACGCAGGAGCAGGAGGGGCCACAGGCCTACCGAGGAGCCAGCAGCAGGTGACACTGACAATTTGTACACATTTTACTGCACCTTTTAACTTTTGTTTAAAAGAAATGACACCCAAGCAATCAAAAAACCAACAGATATTCTTTAAAATGATGTGCGTTTCTTACACTATCAATGATAGGAAGTACAGTGCCTTGCAAAAGTATTCATCCCCCTTGCCGTTTTTCCTATTCTGTTGCATTACAACCTGTAATATAAATTGATTTTTATTTGGATTTCATGTAATGGACATACACAAAATAGTCCAAATTGATGAAGTGAAATGAAAAAAATAACTTGTTTCCAAAAATTCTAAAAAATAAATAACGGAAAAGTGGTGTGTGCATATGTATTCACCCCCTTTGCTATGAAGCCCCTAAATAAGATCTGGTGCAACCAATTACCTTCAGAAGTCACATAATTAGTTAAATAAAGTCCACCTGTGTGCAATCTAAGTGTCACATGATCTCAGTATATATACACCTGTTCTGAAAGGCCCCAGAGTCTGCAACACCACTAAGCAAGTGGCACCACTAAGAAAGCGGCACCATGAAGACCAAGGAGCTCTCCAAACAGGTCAGGGACAAAGTTGGTTGTGGAGAAGTACAGATCAGGGTTGGGTTATAAAAAAATATCTGAAACTTTGAACATCCCACGGAGCACCATTAAATCCATTATTAAAAAATTGAAAGAATATGGCACCACAACAAACCTGCCAAGAAAGGGCCGCCCACCAAAACTCACGGACCAGGCAAGGAGGGCATTAATCAGAGAGGCAACAAAGAGACCAAAGATAACCCTGAAGGAGCTGCAAAGCTCCACAGCGGAGATTGGAGTATCTGTCCATAGGACCACTTTAAGCCGTACACTCCACAGAGCTGGGCTTTACTGAAGAGTGGCCAGAAAAAAGCCATTGGTTAAAGAAAAAAATAAGCAAACACGTTTGGTGTTCGCCAAAAGCCATGTGGGAGACTCCCCAAACATATGGAAGAAGGTACTCTGGTCAGATGAGACTAAAATTGAGCTTTTTGGCCATCAAGGAAAATGTCTGGCGCAAACCCAACAACTCTCATCACCCCGAGAACACCATCACCACAGTGAAGCATGGTGGTGGCAGCTTCATGCTGTGGGGATGTTTTTAATTGGCAGGGACTGGGAAACTGGTCAGAATTGAAGGAATGATGGATGGCGCTAAATACAGGGAAATTCTTGAGAGAAACCTGTTTCAGTCTTCCAGAGATTTGAGACTGGCTGGAGCTGTTTTGCCTTGAAGAATGGGCAAAAATCCCAGTGGCTAGATGTGCCAAGCTTATAGAGACATACCCCAAGAGACTTGCAGCTGTAATTGCTGCAAAAGGTGGCTCTACAAAGTATTGACTTTGGGGGGATGACTAGTTATGCACGTTCAAGTTTTTGTTTGTTTCACCCCAAAAAATATTGGTAGGCATGATGTGTAAATCAAATGATACAAACACCCCCAAAATAAATTTTAATTCCAGGTTGTAAGGCAACAAAATAGGAAAAATGCCAAGGGGGGTGAATACTTTTGCAAGCCACTGTAAATCAGCTTGTGGATCACTAAACATTTCTTTAGTGTATACTAGAGCATCTGCTGTGTTTAGTGATGACTTTGGCTTGATTATTTTTCTCTTTTTGATGCTTTGTTTGTTCCAGTGCTCTGGGCTCCTCAGGAGAGTCTGTGATCGGAAGGCAGTTTGGGTGTGAGGTTGAGAACAGCAGCCTGTGTCGCTGTGGAAAGGAGACAGTACGCTCCTCTCTCACCTTGCTCTTCACCATGCACTACCCTGAGCAGAACTCACTTGGTAAGTTTTCCCCAAATTATCTTTACTCTGCCAGCATTTGACTAGTATCATTGTTATTTGGATTTATTGATCATATATTGGTGTTTTAAATCATATTCTGTTAGTTAAGACGATAAAGGAGTACGACTTTGCTGAGATCCTGAAGAAAAGTATATGTCTGGAGCAGAGTACGCAGGCGTGGTGCGAGAACTGTGAAAAGTATCAGCCCACAGTAAGTGACCCTTTAAAAAAAATGTGTTGTTTATTTGTTGTTTGAGTCGATTCTTTAATGTGTTTTTCCTCTATCCATCTATCTCTAGGTGCAGACACGGAACATCCGCTGCCTTCCTGATGTACTGGTCATTAATTGTGAGGTGAACAGTGTCAAAGAGGCTGAGTTCTGGAAGGCTCAGGCAGAGGTGAGCCCCGAATTCCAATCCAAATCAAACTCTTCAGGGTAATATCATGATCAGTCAGTTCAACCGCTTGAGTATTTCCTCCTACAATGGCAAATCGAGAGCTTGGGACTATAAGGTTCTATCTGCATTTTTGTCATTGACATAGCCTTGTACTGTTCAATGTTTTATATCTATATAGTACTCTAAATACCCCAATTCATGTTGTTAAGTTCAAAAGAATACAAGATAAAAATTGCTGACACCATTCAAACCAATGAGGGTTCGGAACTTTAAAGCCAATTGTCTCAGAATCATCTTTTTGCAGATATAACTTTATATTCTCAAGCTCTTGAAATGCTGAATACAGACTGCTATTGATATTTACAATGACACGATGGCCATCTATTTGATTCAGATATTAGCTATAGTAGCACATTAGAGATTTAGTACTTCAATTAGAACTCTTATCCCAATGATGTTGGTTGTGTTTCCAGTGTCAATAATATTTTGGTACAAAGTTATTAGAATGAATCAACCTGTTCCTCTCTCCACAGTACGCTTTCATTAAGGCCAAGAAGAAAGAGGAAATGGAACCCCCTAAGCCCAAAGAACCTCCACAACCACCTGAGTGGTGCTTAGAGTAAGGATGATAAAAAATAACTATAAATATTTGGCTAGTGACAGTTCATACACTCATGGAAATATTGATGGGAAAGCTTGTTAAAACAATGAGCTGACATTTTGTTTTTGAACTGTTACCCTGCATCGGGGTTAGGGTCAATTCTATGCCTATTCTATGGGCGGCTATATCTATGGGTGAGTAGTTGAAAAATCTGTCTGTGCCCTTGAGCAGGGCACTTAACCCTAATTGCTCCTGTAAGTCACTCTGTATAAGAGCGTCTGCTAAATGACTAAAATGTAATGTAAATGTAATGTCAATTCAGGAAGTAAACTGAAATTCAAATTTTCCTCATTGCATTTTTTATTACCTCCATGTTGTTTAGGGAGGAGCTGGTCAATACAGAGGGCCTGACCTTTGACACCAGAGTGGAGGACCTACGTCACGTCTGGATCCCTCTCACTCTGAAGATGTCCATCAGCAAAAGCCAGGGCCTAGAGATCAGCAGCTGGCCAGAGGCCGAGGAGGTGAAAGACACAGAACAGCCAATAACTACTTATACTTCACATTCATAGGCTCACTCACCAAATCATTTTTCAAGACTTCCATGATTTTTCCATTTTGCTCCTTGTTTTTGTTTTGCCGTACTGGTTTCATAGTTTAATAGAATGATATGTATTAGTATGTCTGTTGTTGAAATGAAATGACAACACTTTTATCAACCTTTTAGCTGAGCTCCACTGAGGAGGCTGAAGGAGCGTCTCTCTATGACTTGGTGGTTACTGTGCCTCATGTACTGGACGCTCGCACCGGGGGCAACCTGGTAGCACACATCAAAGTGGGAGAGACATATCACATCAGAAAAGAGGTGAGTGGATGGATAGATCTGTTATAGACAAAGTAAGGACATCAACGGAAAGAAAAAAAATGATCTCACTACAATACATTTTAATAGAAAGTTAGCCAAATTAGATAAGATTTTGCTACCATGGAAAGGACATCACCTGTCTGTCTGTGGAAAAATCGGCCTGATTAATTCTTTAGCCATATCCCAGTTTACCTATTTACTTATGGCCCTGCCTATACCTAACGACTTGTTTTTTAAATTATATGAGCAAAAAATACAGTGGGGAAAAAAAGTATTTAGTCAGCCACCAATTGTGCAAGTTCTCCCACTTAAAAAGATGAGAGAGGCCTGTAATTCTCATCATAGGTACACGTCAACTATGACAGACAAATTGAGGAAAAAAATTCCAGAAAATCACATTGTAGGATTTTTTATGAATTTATTTGCAAATTATGGTGGAAAATAAGTATTTGGTCACCTACAAACAAGCAAGATTTCTGGCTCTCACAGACCTGTAACTTCTTCTTTAAGAGGCTCCTCTGTCCTCCACTCTTTACCTGTATTAATGGCACCTGTTTGAACTTGTTATCAGTATAAAATACACCTGTCCACAACCTCAAACAGTCACACTCCAAACTCCACTATGGCCAAGACCAAAGAGCTGTCAAAGGACACCAGAAACTAAATTGTAGACCTGCACCAGGCTGGGAAGACTGAATCTGCAATAGGTAAGCAGCTTGGTTTGAAGAAATCAACTGTGGGAGCAATTATTAGGAAATGGAAGACATACAAGACCACTGATAATCTCCCTCGATCTGGGGCTCCACGCAAGATCTCACCCCGTGGGGTCAAAATGATCACAAGAACGGTGAGCAAAAATCCCAGAACCACAGTGAATGACCTGCAGAGAGCTGGGACCAAAGTAACAAAGCCTACCATCAGTAACACACTACGCCGCCAGGGACTCAAATCCTGCAGTGCCAGACGTGTCCCCCTGCTTAAGCCAGTACATGTCCAGGCCCGTCTGAAGTTTGCTAGAGTGCATTTGGATGATCCAGAAGAGGATTGGGAGAATGTCATATGGTCAGATGAAACCAAAATAGAACTTTTTGGTAAAAACTCAACTCGTCGTGTTTGGAGGACAAAGAATGCTGAGTTGCATCCAAAGAACACCATACCTACTGTGAAGCATGGGGGTGGAAACATCATGCTTTGGGGCTGTTTTTCTGCAAAGGGACCAGGACGACTGATCCGTGTAAAGGAAAGAATGAATGGGGCCATGTATCGTGAGATTTTGAGTGAAAACCTCCTTCCATCAGCAAGGGCATTGAAGATGAAACGTGGCTGGGTCTTTCAGCATGACAATGATCCTCATCACCCCGCCCGGGCAACGAAGGAGTGGCTTCGTAAGAAGCATTTCAAGGTCCTGGAGTGGCCTAGCCAGTCTCCAGACCTCAACCCCAAAGAAAATCTTTGGAGGGAGTTGAAAGTCCGTGTTGCCCAGCGACAGCCCCAAAACATCACTGCTCTAGAGGAGATCTGCATGGAGGAATGGGCCAAAATACCAGCAACAGTGTGTGAAAACCTTGTGAAGACTTACAGAAAACGTTTGACCTGTGTCATTGCCAACAAAGGGTATAGAACAAAGTATTGAGAAACTTTTGTTATTGACCAAATACTTATTTTCCACCATAATTTGCAAATAAATTCATTAAAAATCCTACAATGTGATTTTCTGGATTTTCTTTTCTCATTTTGTCTGTCATAGTTGACGTGTACCTATGATGAAAATGACAGGCCTCTCTCATCTTTTTAAGTGGGAGAACTTGCACAATTGGTGGCTGACTAAATACTTTTTTCCCCCACTGTATTCCACTTTATTTGGAGATGCAAGCCAGACAAAATTAAACGGTACTATTTATATAATTAATATGAATTTAGAGGGCAGAAATTATTAAATATTAAAGCATTGGACCTCTCACTAAAGGCTTCAGTCATACAAAAACTATACTTAAATCTGATGTCTCACTCCGTGTTCAAGAATGGCTTTTTTTCCTTCATTCAGATTACAACCTCTCACTTTCGGTAATTCGAAAATGAAATAATCTCCAAAATATCACAATTTTTAAAACAAGCAATAGAAAGCTGGTTGCAATTTCAGTTTAATCCACCAGAAAAGACATAACAAATATTAGAACAAATATTATGGTTAAACTCAAATATACTAATTGATTAAAAAAACATTATTTTGGAAAAATGTGTTTAAAAACGGTATAATCAGGGGCCACCCGAGTGGCACAGCGGTCTAAGGCACTGCATCGCAGTGTTTCGGCATCACTACAGCCTGGGGTTCGATCCCTTGTGGCGGGCTGAGCGCCTGCAGGCTGACTTTGGTCGTCAGTTGAACGGTGTTTCCTCTGACACATTGGTGCGGCTGGCTTCTGGGTTAAGCGTGCGGGTGTTAAGAAGGCCTCTCCCGAGCCCGTTGGGGAGTTGCAGCGATGAGACAAGATCGTAATTGGATCGCAATTTGATATCACGAAACTGGGGAGAAAAAGGGTTTAAAAATACAATTAAAAAAAACAACAACGTATGATCTTTGTAAATTATATCATAAATAGGACTTGTGGAGTTATCTCACACATGCAGTTAACAACAATATATGGAAATGTCTGCGCTATCCAATATTATAACCAACTGATCGTAGCATTACCGCAAAAATTGAGGAGGCAAGTGGAAAGGGGAGAAGGTAAGGATCTTGTCTGTCGGCCCTGCATTAAAGACCAAAATTGGCTAAAGAAAATTGTGATCAATAAAAAAGTATACCCGTTTCATTTAAGGACCAAAAAATGGACAGCTGCACCATACAGGTTGGAAAATAGTTGGGAGGAGATTTTTGATGTACCGATTCCATGGCACATGGTTAATGAACTGATACACAAAACGACACCGGATTCAAAACTTAGTTTTTCAATTTAAATTATTATACAAAATTCTTGCAACCAATATAATGTTATATATATATATATATAATATATATATATATATACATACAGTGGGGAGAACAAGTATTTGATACACTGCCGATTTTGCAGGTTTTCCTACTTACAAAGCATGTAGAGGTCTGTAATTTTTATCATAGGTACACTTCAACTGTGAGAGACGGAATCTAAAACAAAAATCCAGAAAATCACATTGGTGTCATGCAATAAAATGCTAATTAATTACTTAAAAATCATACAATGTGATTTTCTGGATTTTTGTTTTAGATTCCGTCTCTCACAGTTGAAGTGTACCTATGATTTAAAAAAAATTATAAAGAAAGAAAAATATATATTAAAAATATTATATACAGTGGGGAGAACAAGTATTTGATACACTGCTGATTTTGCAGGTTTTCCTACTTACAAAGCATGTAGAGGTCTGTAATTTTTATCATAAGTACACTTCAACTGTGAGAGACGGAATCTAAAACAAAAATCCAGAAAATCACATTGTATGATTTTTAAGTAATTAATTTGCATTTTATTGCATGACATAAGTATTTGATACATCAGCAAAGCAGAACTTAATATTGGTACAGAAACCTTTGTTTGCAATTACAGAGATCATACGTTTCCTGTAGGTCTTGACCAGGTTTGCACACACTGCAGCAGGGATTTTGGCCCACTCCTCCATACAGACCTCCAGATCCTTCAGGTTTCGGGGCTGTCGCTGGGCAATACAGACTTTCAGCTCCCTCCAAAGATTTTCTATTGGGTTCAGGTCTGGAGACTGGCTAGGCCACTCCAGGACCTTGATATGCTTCTTACGGAGCCACCCCTTAGTTGCCCTGGCTGTGTGTTTCGGGTCGTTGTCATGCTGGAAGACCCAGCCACGACCCATCTTCAATGCTCTTACTGAGGGAAGGAGGTTGTTGGCCAAGATCTCGCGATACATGGCCCCATCCATCCTCCCCTCAATACGGTGAGTCGTCCTGTCCCCTTTGCAGAAAAGCATCCCCAAAGAATGATGTTTCCACCTCCATGCTTCACGGTTGGGATGGTGTTCTTGGGGTTTTACTCATCCTTCTTCTTCCTCCAAACACGGCGAGTGGAGTTTAGACCAAAAAGCTCTATTTTTGTCTCATCAGACCACATGACCTTCTCCCATTCCTCCTCTGGATCATCCAGATGGTCATTGGCAAACTTCAGACGGGCCTGGACATGCGCTGGCTTGAGTAGGGGAACCTTGCGTGCGCTGCAGGATTTTAATCCATGACGGCGTAGTGTGTTACTAATGCTTTTCTTTGAGACTGTGGTCCCAGCTCTCTTCAGGTCATTGACCAGGTCCTGCCGTGTAGTTCTGGGCTGATCCCTCACCTTCCTCATGATCATTGATGCCCCACAAGGTGAGATCTTCCATGGAGCCCCAGACCGAGGGTGATTGACCGTCATCTTGAACTTATTCCATTTTCTAATAATTGCGCCAACAGTTGTTGCCTTCTCACCAAGCTGATTGCCTATTGTCCTGTAGCCCATCCCAGCCTTGTGCAGGTCTACAATTTTATCCCTGATGTCCTTACACAGCTCTCTGGTCTTGGCCATTGTGGTGAGGTTGGAGTCTGTTTGATTGAGTGTGTGGACAGGTGTCTTTTATACAGGTAACGAGTTCAAACAGGTGCCGTTAATACAGGTAATGAGTGGAGAACAGGAGGGCTTCTTAAAGAAAAACTAACAGGTCTGTGAGAGCCGGAATTCTTACTGGTTGGTAGGTGATCAAATACTTATGTCATGCAATAAAATGCAAATGAATTACTTAAAAATCATACAATGTGATTTTCTGGATTTTTGTTTTAGATTCCGTCTCTCACAGTTGAAGTGTACCTATGATAAAAACTACTGACCTCTACATGCTTTGTAAGTAGGAAAACCTGCAAAATCGGCAGTGTATCAAATACTTGTTCTCCCCACTGTATATTTACAAAAAATATATATATATGGAGGATTGGAAATTATGCAGACAATTACATTGATAAAAGCCACAATCTATCTGCAATATATTTTTAAAAATTAAAGCCTATATGTGCTAATAATAATATTTAGAAAACTATTTGACTAACTTATTTTTGTTCATGTTGCGGTTTAAGGGGGTAACACATCAGCAGTGGTATCTATTCAATGACTTCCTGATTGAGCCAATTGACAAGGTAATCTTTGGTTACTGACTGAATCAACACATCAAATATCTTATCAATAAATGATCTCTTATCAATTCTTCAAATATAACAATGTGTTTGTATTTTGTTTTTGTTCATGTGTCTCAGGCTGAAGCAGCACAGTTTGATGTGAACTGGAAGCTGCCTGCCATCCTGTATTACGCCAAGAGAAACTACCACTCCAAATACGACCTACGCAGTAAGCCATCCACTCATTGTCAGTTACAGTTTCTTCATTTAGCTGATCAGGGTCAACATGACCATGGATTGTAGTATACATTATACATACAGGATTTCATTTAAATCATATAAAATTAATAAATAAGGTAATTTCAGCAGTAGATATTTGCTTTAGTGCATGCCGCTCCACAACATAACCTTGACCTCCTCTGTGAAGATGAGGGATGGTTGTGGTACTGTGTATGACTGCACTCATTACCTGTTTAAGAACATCCCCACCCCAACACTTGATGCCTGTCTGTCTTCCCCAGTTAAGAACCCCATCGAGGCCAGTGTGCTGCTGACAGAGGCGTCACTGGCGCGGAAGCAGAGGAAGAGCCATGCCACTTTCATCCCCCTCATGGTCAGTGAGATGCCCCAGGCTGGAGATCTCGTGGGACTGGACGCCGAGTTTGTCACCCTCAACCAGGTCAGTCTGGCAGAAGTGTGATTGCTAGGTTTTGAGTACAAGTCAGACTATGCTAGGTCAACAATGTATCTGGGTAGAAGGTTCCTTTAGGTACTGATCCTGGATCAGTTTTTCCTACCCAGATCCTAACCTTAACCATTAAACAGGTGTATAATAGGGGCAGCTTCACCCTAGCAACATAGCAATGAGGATAATAATTAACAACAACAGTGATACATCAGGGAGCTCTGCTTGGAGATCCATGGTTTAAATTCCCCCTTATGGACCAGATCCATGTCTTTATCTGTGTTTATATAGGAGGAGGCAGAGCTACGCAGCGACGGCACCAAGTCCACCATTAAGCCCAGTCAGATGTCTGTGGCACGGATCACCTGCGTGCGTGGTCAGGGTCCCAACGAAGGAGTACCGTTCATCGATGACTACATCTCTACTCAGGAGCAGGTAATGCAGCCCCTCTCGCACTGGCAATAATAATGACTACTTTAACAGGATGGATGGATGTTCAGATAATTATTGCTATGCAGTAAAATCTGATGTTGTATAACCACAAACAAGACAGCTTCCTAACAAAGTGACCTACATTTAACTCATCTTAGTTCTTAAAGTGTATTCTTCCTCACTGTTTTGCTGGTGCAGGTGGTGGACTATCTGACCCAGTACTCCGGCATCAAACCAGGGGACCTGGATGCTAAGATTTCCTCCAAGCACTTGACCACTCTAAAGTCAACTTACCTGAAGCTGCGCTTCCTCATTGACACCGGAGTGCGCTTTGTTGGCCATGGTTTACAGAAGGACTTCCGGGTTATAAATTTGCTGGTAAGTTTGTATACTTAATATACCTGATTTTTAAATGGAACCAATTTTATCTGTGCTTCTATACCCCTGGCCTCAGTTTTAGTAAAGATTATGGGCCGGTTTCCCAGAGACAGATCAAGCCTAGTCCTGGACTAAAAAGCATGCTCAATGGAGAATCTCCTTTGAAATTGCTTTTTAGTCCAGGACTAGTCTTTATCTGTGTCCAGGAAACCATCCCTATAGGTTAGCTAGATTAACAGTAGACAGGGTAATTTCAATGGAGGGAGTGTGGGAGCTCATCTCTGTTTTGATGTACCTTGCTCAGGTGCTGAAGGATCAGGTTGTTGACACAGTCTACCTGTTCCATATGCCTCGTAAGAGGATGATCTCTCTGCGCTTCCTCGCCTGGTACTTTCTGGGTAAGAGCTTATACTCCTCAACCACTGTTTTGCTCATATAGAAATGACTACTTAGTCTGCCATTTTCCAAATTCATCCATGTAACATCCAAATTGTGTGAAATGGCAAAACTGCTACTTGCTTCTCCAGACCTTAACATCCAGGGTGAGACCCATGACAGTATCGAGGATGCACGCACTGCCCTTGCTCTGTACAGGAAGTACCTGGAACTGAGTCGTGGAGGAGGGAATGACGAAGTCCGCAAAGTTCTGAAGGGTCTCTATGAGAAAGGCCGCAAGCTAGACTGGAAAGTCCCTGACTGTGACACAGGAGATGGTCAAGGTAGCCCAAAAAGTACGAAACTGGCATTGCATTAGAGGGTGTAATGTTGGTGGGATCTGGATATTATTGGGGCTAACTAAACTTTATTTTTATTAGCAGTATACGGGATCTATCAATCCACGTTGATTGAATGTAGTCCCCTCCCACAGGCACAGACTTCCCCCCCCAGTGATGGGACTGTGAAGGGTGCCTGAAGACATTCCTGCCAAACTGATTTAATCATGGTGTTTAATCATTTCAATCAGCCTTTTCATTTATATTGTTAAAACCAGTACTCACGAGGTATTGACTCCCATAAAGTATGAAACTGAATTAGTCATCGACAAGAGCAGAATGCTGAAAGAGGTTGTGTCAGTGTCCCAACTTTCCACATAATATTGCTTGCCTGTACAGTACCCTGATCAGACTCAGCCATTTACATTATTTGAAAAAGGACTGAACAGTTGTGATCTTCTCCAAAACAGAACTCAAAACAATTTCTGCTTTCATTTTGTATTTTTCATTAGATTTCTAAAGAGTGTTTGTCATTAAGCTGTACGTTATGCTGCTTACATGGGCAAAGAATGTTAAAAATGTGATGAACTTTTTATAGTGATGTTTTTTTGGGCCTGTAATAAAAGCTTAATACAGTACAGTGAATTGTCTATTCATATTCATATTTTCTTCCAAATTCACATTTTATGATGAAGTGGGAGATATACATTTTGCTTAAAGCTAGAATCCTTAGTTGCTACATCCACTTATACATTAATTATATATACCCATTGATTCTTGAACAATATATAAATATGCCTCATGAACTTAGTTCAACTGTCATACCCCATCAGAACCCAAAATATAAGGGTGTTTTACTCCAATGTTTGTAAACAATGTAAATGTAAACAAACAATATATAGCCTCCAAACATGGTTAAACAATGATTTTGATATCATGGATGAGTCCTTGCATCCACAGCCCTGTCTATGAATTTGAGAGTGGTTACAGTTCTCCAGGCTCATTGCTTTTTACCAAAACAGAGGCGGGGTGACACATTTTTAACTTTGAGGTATATTTATCCCATGTATTGTACAGTTGTGGTCAAAAGTTTTGAGAATTACACAAATATTAATTTTCACAAAGTCTGCTGCCTCAGCTTTTATTGTTCTTCCTCTGTTAACCATGGTTACCTGCAAGGAAACACGTGCCGTCATCATTGCTTTGCACAAAAAGGGCTTCACAGGCAAGGATATTGCTGCTAGTAAGATTGCACCTAAATCAACCATTTATCAGATCATCAAGAACTTCAAGGAGAGAGGTTCAATTGTTGTGAAGAAGGCTTCAGGACGCCCAAGAAAGTCCAGCAAGCGCTAGGACCGTCTCCTAAAGTTGATTCAGCTGCGGGATCGGGGCACCACCAGTGCAGAGCTTGCTCAGGAATGGCAGCAGGCAGGTGTGAGTGCATCTGCACGCACAGTGAGGTGAAGGCTTTTGGAGGATGGCCTGGTGTCAAGAAGGGCAGCGAGGAAGCCACTTCTCTCCAGGAAAAACATCAGGGACAGACTGATGTTCTGCAAAAGATACAGGGATTGGATTGCTGAGGACTGGGGTAAAGTCATTTTCTCTGATGAATCCCCATTCCGATTGTTTGGGGCATCCGGAAAAAAGCTTGTCCGGAGAAGACAAGGTGAGCGCTACCATGTCCTGTGTCATGCCAAAGGTAAAGCATCCTGAGATCATTCATGTGTGGGGTTGCTTATCAGCCAAGGGAGTGGGCTCACTCACAATTTTGCCTAAGAACACAGCCATGAATAAAGAATGGTACCAACACATCCTCCAAGAGCAACTTCTCCCAACCATCCAAGAACAGTTTGGTAACGAACAATGCCTTTTCCAGCATGATGGAGCACCTTGCCATAAGGCAAAAGTGATAACTGAGTGGCTCAGGGAACAAAACATCGACATTTTGGGTCCATGGCCAGGAAACTCCCCAGACATTGATCCCATTGAGAACTTGTGGTCAATCCTCAAGAGGCGGGTGGACAAACAAAACCCCACAAATTCTGACAAACTCCAAGCATTGATTATGCAAGAATGGGCTGCCATCAGTCAGGATGTGGCCCAGAAGTTAATTGACAGCATGCCAGGGCGGATTGCAGAGGTATTGAAAAAGAAGGGTCAACACTGCAAATATTGACTCTTTGCATAAACTTAATGTAATTGTCAATAAAAGCCTTTGACACTTATGGAATGCTTGTAATTATACTTCAGTATACCATAGTAACATCTGACAAAAATATCTAAAAACACTGAAGCAGCAAACTTTGTGAAGACCAATACTTGTGTCATTCTCAAAACTTTTGACCACGACTGTAGTGCGACAGTGTGTGACGGCACATGTTTATAGCACCCTCTGCTGACCATACTTGGAAATGTTTGCTTCTGTAATTCCAGGTGAGACAGGTGTATTAATTAATCTTGAATGGGTCAACGCGGGCTACTTCCAAACTGCTTGTCTGACCATAATAAACCATTTAAAAGTTGTCCTGCAACAGAAACTCTTTCTTGGCCTCATTTTGCGATGTCCAATACGTTTTTGTTAGCTAGCCTACATGTGTGCAGGAACAACAGGAGGTAGGCTATTTACTTTTGCAGCTTTTGAGACTGTTTTTCTGGAGCAAGTAAAACATATAATTTTGTTGGTGAACACTGCACAGAGTTACCATTTTAAGGAGTTGACACTGGATGCGCGTATTTGTAAATGTGGTTATGGATTTGAATTAGGCCTAAAACGTGCTATTTGGGTTATTGGAAAGGATCCTGAGATCACGACCACCCGACGTTTCATCAGCCGGGCGCGCCAAAGCGTGCTAATACGTCATCCGTGTCTCTATTGTGACATAGGCGATTAAGTGGTTTTCAAAGTCAGGCAAGGGCTAATCATATGGTCATTATTTTCTGCAAGACAGGCCAGGAGGCAGTCGATTAGTAGACATCTTACCAGCCAGCCATCCTACTCAGTAGGCCTCAGATCATACCCCGCCATCTCGACAATAATGATCGGACAGAAGAACAAAGTAAATCCTGTTTTTCTCTACTCTAGCATAGCCCATTGCCAAATATCCAGTCCATAATAATGTCAATGGACTTTTAGCCTGCAATCAATGTAATCTTCATCGGCCTATTAATGTTTTAGGATACATTTAGCAGATGTCCTTATTTAGCCGCATACAGACAGTCCGCGAAAACGCTGCTGCCTCCATTTGTTTCCAAGTGAAAATGTGTTTCTCAAGCCGCTGAGAAAAATTACCAGCGCGTGCGGCGGTGGTTGTGGTCGGTAGCTAGGCACGCCTTCGATGCGGATGGGTGGGAAGAAAATCTGCCGCTGGCTTTACATAGAAACCAATTGATGCGGCTGCGTTTTCTTTCGCTGTGTGTAGGCCATTGCATGCTCACATTAGAAAAGCAGTGCTAGTTAGAAGCTTACCAAAAAATGGTTATTAATTTGTCCCTGTAGGAGAACCCTTTGGATAACCTTTTATAAAGGTTCCTTGTATAACCATCCACAAATAGATCTAACTTAATTAGAGGGTTCTATGATTTCCCTACAGGGACAAATCAAAGAACCATAAGGGTTCTTTAATTGATATTGTTGCTGTAGGGCAGGGTTCTTCAATTCCGGTCCTGGAGGGCTGAAACACTTCTGTTTTTTATTTCTACCTGGTAGTTAATTGCACTCACCTGGTGTCCCAGGTCTGAATTAGCCCCTGATTAGAAGGAGAGGATGAAAAACAGAGGTGTTTCGGCCCTCCAGGACCGGAATTGAAGAACCCTGCTGTAGGGGAACACTTTTTGGTGCAATGTAGAACCCATTTTTTAAGACCCATAGAGGGTTCTTTGATTTTTCCCTGTAGGCCAGTGTAGGGGAACTGTTTTTCATGCTATGTAGAACCAATGTTTGAAGAACCATAAAGGTTATTTTGTTTGTCCTGGTAGAGGAACCGTTTTGGTGCTATGCAGAACCTATTTGGAAGAAACTTAAGAGGATTATTTGATCTCTACAGGGGAACCCTTTCTGGTGCTATGAAGTCAGAACCCTCTTATGAAAAGGTCTATACTGGGTTCCAAGTAGAACCAATAACGTGTTCTATCTGGAACTGTACTAGAATTGCATTATCTGATTACTATTTACATTCAGCAGTATGACTCATCCATAACTCAACTTGAGGAGGACATTTGAAATAATTTCCCAGACATTTCTCCAACTGGTTGTATCAAAGTGACTCCAAGAAAAAGGGTTCTCTGAGTATAAATAATGCTAACCATTGCTCACTTTAAAGAACCTCTTAAGAACCCTTTTTTCTAAGATCCCATACGACACCAGGTTGAATGTCAAAACCATGACTATAAAGTAATCTCTCTGCTATGTAATAACCATATATCCATCCCATTATGGATGTATTAGAAATCAAACTACACTCAGAAAAAAAGGTTATACCAGAAACCCAAAAGGGTTCTTCAAAGGGTTCTCCCATTGGGACAGCCGAAGAACCCTTGTGGAACCCTTTTTTCTAAGCTGTAATAGATCATTTATTTCACATATGCAATCCATTCTCTCTTCTCTTCATCTACAGCGTAATAGTTTTAGGCGTAGCAGCCATCGTGCCATGCAGGTGAGATCTTGTGTGGTTGCTGTATGCTAGCATGCTTTCCATGCAGTCTGTTAACATCTGTTTCAACAATGCATCATACCATTACGCCTATATTCAGCTCAGACCCAACTATACTGAAGATTCTCCATAGAGGATGCTTTTAAGTCCATGGCAGGAGAAGGCTTATTTTTTTCGGCTGCATCCCAAATGGCACCCTATTCCTTATTTAGTGCACTACTTTTGACCAGGGCCCATAGGGGAATAGGGTGCCACTTGGGACGCAAATTATTTTATTTAATAAGGGTACGGGAAATACAATTATGTTCACAGGCCATGATGACCTACCCTGAGGTGATCGTTGGGAGTGTGGAGATGACCTCTGTCAGTAGGAGAGACATCTCATCTTCGATCAGCAACAACACCTACAACCGATACTTGCTGGAGAAACAACAGAAGATAGGTTTGAAACACTTAGAAGTTGGTAGCCCTTAAGACTCGTAACCGTATACGGGTTGAAAATGGCTGATTTGGGCACTGATAAGGGCCTAAATTGGAATGCAGTGGATGTATATGCTATAAATGACGTCAGAGCTCAGGCTCTGCGCTTCACAGCTCTGTATGGGTTTTGACTGACAGCCGTTCTGAATTTGAGTACCGCACGTGACAAGAAGTTGCCCCCATCCCTCCCGCTAATTGTGCAACTTTTCCACATTTTCTGTTGTCTGAGTGAGGGAAATGCTGTAAATTAAGAGGATTCTATGTATTTTGAAAGATGAGACGTTGAGGATTATAATACATATCGCTTTGATGTTCTACAAGCAAGCCAAACACCTGTGAGTCCAAATGTGCACTTCACATTTCCATATCATAAAACTCATGTCATATACAGTGTCAACGTTTATGATCACTATGTCTGATGTACAGTTACAAGATGACATGGGGTCATACCCTGGGTTGTTCTGAACAGAATGAGCCTGTGTTTGTCTATTGTGAAGCCGATTTGCCGCGGAA